TCTAAGGATGGATTTACTCACCAATGGCTTCTTTAAAGGTGTGCCAAGCAACTTCCTGTATGGTATTTATTCCTTATATATCATATCATTTCTGATTGGTTTGAATGTATACACTGTCATTCAAAAGTTTGGTAAGATTTTTTTTTTTAGACAAAGTACAAACAGTATTGTCAAATATTGTTAGAATTTAGAACTGTTGTCTATTTTAGCATTTAAAAAAATAATTGTAACTTTTCAGCAGCCATTACTGCAACCGTCAGTGTCACATGATCCTTCAGAAATCATCCTAATTTGGTGCTCAAGAAGCATTTCTTGTTCATATCAATGTTAAAAACAGTTGTGTTGCGAAATATTTTTGTGGAAACATCGATACATTTTTTTACAGGATTCTTTGATGAATATAAAGTTAAAAATAACAGCACTTATTTGAAATACATTTTTTGTTACAGTGTGGAAGTCTTTAACCAAAAGCACTAATATCTTTTTTTTTTTAAATCATACTGATGCCAAGCTTTTGAACAGCAGTATATAATATAAACCTGCATCAACTCACTTCCATACTGGATTCTATTTACTCAATTCAATTATTTCTGTGAGTGAATGTATTATGTATAGCATCAGTAACATTGAATTGTGCTGTAAACCACATGGGGGCTCATTTTAAGATCTTTTTAGTTATATATTATATTAAAAGTATATTTTAGGGTCCAAATGTATAAAATGAATAGTAAAATTTGGCTGGTAATTTATTGATTACCAGGGCTTTTTGGGGGGGGCAAAATTACCTGCAGTAATTGTTTAGAATTTTCAAGAGGAAAACAACTATATATTGTCACTAGAGCAGCAGAATGCAGTTTCTTTGCTTGTAAGACATATTTATGGCCATAAAACTTTCTCAATTCACCCGTCAGTTAATTTTGGACCCTGGTTATTTTTGTCTTTAGTTAAGCTTTGGCATGTGGCAGGTTCCTGACGCAAACATCTCCACCTTTAAGCATCCACACAGCCAGTACCTTCATAATGAAGCAGGATAACAACCATCTGTGTTCAACAACTCAACAATCTGTGTCAAATGTGTGTTTTATCTCAGTCATAACTATCTGGCATGTGTTTATAGTGCTGTCTTACCCACTGTCCCTTTCGCAAAGGGTTTTGGTTAATAGTTATAGTAAGAAATACTTAGGTGAGAGAATGAAGAACAGGAGGTTTTGTTGTTGCTAAGCTGAAATGCAGATGCAATGCCCAATGTTCAGGAATCTAAGCCAGTAAGCAATGAGTTCCTTCTGTGCTTTTCCTAGATTTTCCCCTTTAATTTAGCTGGAAATCTCTGTTAACTGATTACAAAAAACTGTTATTTAATGACTTGCGTATTCATGTTAATGTTGTTTTCGTTTTAATTTTGCCTTTTCAAAGACAAATTTGTTCAGATAAAGCTCTTTTGTAGAAGAGACTCTAAATTATTGTGCTGCAAAAAGCTTTGAGTTCAAGTTAAGTCAATAAGATCATCTGGCACCCTATCTCTCACTTTCAGTTTGAACACGAATATCACCTAGCCATCCCAGGAATCGCTTTAGTATCATCCTGCTCTCTCTTTATCGGCAGGGATAGATCGAACTCAGCAGAGAGAGTGTGGAGTCTGCGACTTTGAATCCAGAGAAAGAGTATTTGCTTAGACTTTGGCGAAGAGCCTTCTGGGAAAAAGCGAGCTTTTGATCTAGTCCTGATGTGGTTGGAACAGTCTCTACCCTCCAGTGAGGCTTTAATGAGAGCTGATGTTTAAACCCCATGGGCTTGGGTCTTGATGCAGAGTTTAAATAAGAAAAGGCACAAGCGAAACACACTAGCCTGATGAAGTGGACGGTGATGTCATTGATATGGAAACTTTTGCTGTGGCCAAACACAATGTTTAGAGCTTTGCTTAGGGTCACAAAATGAGCTCATAGTGCAGTTTCCCTTACGTTCCTGGCGTGCCTTGTTCTCAATGTCCAACAGGCCTTTTATATACCTTATTTAAACCTTATTTTAAAGTCAGGACTTGATTGATTGACTCAAAAATGAATAGCCAGAATCACCACTCTAGATTACATTAATTAACTTTAATTTATGTGATGTTGCTATTTAAAATTGATGCTCTTCAATGTGTATTTTCATCAATGTGTTAACTGTCAATGGGATGTTTGGTCTGTTTTAGAGTAGGTTCTAACGATTTATGTACTTTGTTTTTGTTTTGTTGCTTCTGAATATCTATTTATGTCATCAGCGATCAAGCTCTCAGTCTTGCTCTCTGCAGCTTTATGGTTTGCGCCAACATTTTTGGTCCTAAATCGCTGATATTTTCAGCCAACACTGAATCTTCTGATCCTTGTGGCCTCCCCTGTAATCCCACTTAACCAGCACTCCCAAGACTTGTGCATGGAGAAGGATTGAGAATCAAGATTTCCTCTCAAAATCCCCGTCAGGAGATTGGCTCTGAGTTCAGGGCATCATTCTGTTTATCCCGCTGAATCCTGACTCTTATTATTCTTCCACGTCTGCTGACAGTTTAGCTCAATCCTTCATGATGATGATGTTTTAAGGACACACTCTCCCGTTGACCTGTGTTAAATGGATTTTTATTGCAATGGAGTTGTTTTTTTTTAAGCCATATTGTTTTTGTTTTTTCTAAATGGCAAATTTGAGGAATTGCAGATTCCTCAGCACTTAGAATGCATGTTTTCATGTTTGTGTTATTTAAAAAGATTAAACGTTAATGCACTCGTGCCTTTGTGCAAAAGAAGAGTTTTTGATTATGTAAATATTTTAAAACTGATCATGCATAGCTCTTATTTTGGTGTGATTCGTTTGAGTGAAGTTCGAATATGTGGAATTCATTTCTTGGAAAGAGCCTGCAGCTCCGGTTTCAAGTACATCAGAATGGACATAGCTTTCCCATTACATTTATATACACAAAACATTGTGTGTAACGTTTTATTGTGTTGCCTTGACAAAGCCAATGTACTGTACTATTATACTGTACACACTTATGTTAATAAGCGTAAATTGACATTCCCAGAATTCCCTGCGTTACATTTCAAATTTGACGTTTTTGTGTTGAAATAACTGTTTCTTCTTAGTTTTTTCTTATCAGTTTTGTATATTAGGGTTGTGTGTTACACCTAATGTTGTTAAATTAATGTTTATTGCATTATTTCAGTTTCATGTGTGTTACCATGATGGTGTTTGGTGTTTGTGTGAATGACACTGTGCACCTTCTATATATGTTATTATTTAAAAGCTGCTTGTGATGGGCTTTGGTTCATCATGTGACTTTCTCATCACCACCTGCATTTGGTGGTTATCAGTGTATTACAAAGGTACAAAACAGATTTCAGTACTTCAATAGGTTGGTATATTAACATTATATCAGTTAATGAAATTACGGTATTTAACTGTAAATTTAAGTTAAAACCGTAAAACCTAAAACGTTGCTATTGTATTTTTTACGGTAAAATTCCGGCAACCACAGCTGCCGTTTTTTTTACTGAATTTTTTTTAGTGTGGACTTACTTGATTTCCCAAGACAGTTAAATATCCTGTAGATTTGAACTGTATTTCCTGACTTTTCAAGCTATGTCAACCAAATCTTTTAATCAGCTAGTATATTGTACCTACAAAAGACTTAAACTTCTAGTGAACCTTCAAACTTTCAGGCCAACATTCAGCCAAATCTGAGGCGTCAGCTGAGAGTGTTAAGCACACAGAATATGCGCAGATCATTAATGCCCCAAATGTTTGAGAATGAGCCCTACATTCACTGTGTAACTTCTGATCCATTCTGTGTAGTTTTGACATTGATCGGGCTTCAACAGTGATTGTGTGTTTTGAGAGAAAAAGGGAATGCATTCTTCATCTCCATTATTATAAGTTCTGAGTTTTAAACTCCATGTCATGCCAGCTGTTTTAAATGTAAATAATTTTTGAAACGTCTGAAATGGCTTGTTAGCCAGAGATGATTATGTGAATGATTTATGCATTCAATGTCCTCTTGATTTGGTGTTTTTTATCTTTCTTATCATGCTTGATTTTTATTCTGTACTGGCCATAGCAAAAATAATTATTTTTCATTGCTTTGATTATGTATTGTGTACAGATTTGTAATTGACAAAGTGTTGAAAATCATGACAATTTTTGTACCGTCTTTGAAGTAGAAGTGTAGCTAAGCTCACTGGCCCTGTTTTAATAAAGGAATTGCATTTGTGATTTTGCAGATTATGCAGTGTTCATTTGTATACATAATGATCATGTCAATATAAAACAACACCGTTAACAAGTGTAATTCAGAATAGATGTACAGTATGGAAGATAAAATTCATCAGTATTATCAGTGTATTCTGCAGTTCTGCAGACCAGACATTGGTTCACTTTATTCAAGGTGTTCATTCAAGATGGTGTTATTTTAATTTCATGTAATCAACATAGTTGCAACATTTTACATGTAAAGATGGGTAAAAAGAAACATATTAATAACAGCTCTGTGATGTTTCAATGTTTTTATTACTCCACTTGTCTGTGTTCACAGTGATCCAGAAGCAAAGAGGGGTTTTTGAATGTCAAAGCGTCAGTGTTTTCTCTTGTGAAGATTGCTTGAAGCAGGTTTCTCTCACTAATGAGGAAATGTGAAACGGAGTGGAGCTGGAGTAATTATAGAACACTGGTAAGTCTCCATCCATTTCAGTCCTGCTTTCTTTTTTAAACGCGAGTTATTAAAGGGATAGTTCACCCAAAAATGAAAGTTCTGTCATCATTTGCTTACCTTCCACTTGTTCCAAACCTGTATGAGTTTCTTTCTTCTGCTGAACACAAAAGAAGATATTTCGAAAAATGTTGGTAACCAAAAAGCTGACGGTAGCCATTGACTTCCATAGTGTGAAAAAAAAATACTGTAGAAGTCAAAGGCTACTGTCAACTGTTCATATGTTTTTGGGTGAACTATCTCTTTAACTTCTTGTTTACGGAACTGTTGTATAAAAGCAATATCACACAGTCATGCTGTTGGTCTGAATATGAGCATGGTTTTGATACATGTGGCACTCCTGCCTACAGACATGTCAGACAGACCAGCATCATGGTTGCCCCTGTGATATTTCTCAAATATATATAATAAAATACTATTTTCTATTGATAGTGTTTTTTCATATATGGGCTGCACATTTATTTATTAATTAACAGGTGAGATGATCAATGGGTCAGAGTTTTTACCATCCTTGTTTAATGCTGGGCAAAAATATGGATAGAGTGTCCCATTAAAGGTCTGGCCAGTGAAAGAGTAGATATGAGACCTTGTCTCCACGTCATAAAAGGAGACCAGACCTTCCTCATAATCCACAAACACCCCCACATTCTGGGGCTTCACTCTCAGAGAGAGTACAGACATGGAATTTTCAAGTGCCTTGTATTCATTCCCATTCCTCAGCCATATAGCCCAGTATCCATTCTGAGGTCTCAGAGTGATTCTCCCTTTCCTTATGACAGATTCTCTGGCCACTCCTAAATTCCAAGCAGTCTTCTTCATCACCTGCACCTCAAAATAAAATCTCCCTGAGGAGAATCCTTCCTTTCCCAGTACAAAGATGCAATGATCAAATCTCTTCAGGTTGTCTGGGACGTCACGCTTAATGTCTCCATTGCTCACTTGTTTTCCATCATCAGACAGGATGAGTTCAGGCTGAGCAGTATCAGGATCCAGAGTCACATCCACTGCGAGAGAGAGAATACCAGATTTTGATGTATTTAAAGAGTGTAGTGAGTTTATGAACTTAAACTGTTTGTGACAGTGAGAGATCTGTGCATATTACACATTATACCTGCATATAAGCGCATCCTCTTAAGCTCTGTGGAGACAAATGATGATAAAAGATGATCAGTCCTATATCTATTATCAAAGAATTTAGGCTTTCAGTTATATTTAAGAATATTTTCATACATATTATTTGTTGAAATATATATTCTCAGTAATATATGCATCTCTGCTTTGATTTTATAACTTTTTTTTTTCTTACAGAAATTATTCTCCCATTCCTACTCCTTTTATCTCCATGATGTCATTTTGTACTTTGTGCATCTTGTTGTGGTATTTTAAAGGGGTCATATGATGCAATTTCATTTTTTCCTTTCTCTTTGGAGTGTTACAAGCTCTTGGTGCATAAAGAAGATCTGTAAAGTTGCAAAGACTAAAGTCTCAAATCCAAAGAGATATTCTTTATAAAAGTTAAGAGTCAGCCACACCTACCTAAAACGGCTCGTTCAACGCACTGGATAGCTGGCTAATCAGAGCACACCTCGCTTTTCAGACCGATTAGTTTTGTAAAAATCGACGCGTTTCAGAAGGCAGGGCATAGAGGAGAAACAATAATGTACAGTATTTGGAAAATAATGTGTTTTTTTTACTTTAAACTGCATAAACACATTTCATTACACCAAATACACAAAATAATGTTCTTTTTAGCAGCATCATATGACCCCTTTAAAAACTATTTTGTAAAAAACAATGATACATTCAGATTTTATACTCTAATTATAATTTATCATTTTGCAGCTGGAATTTGTGACATAAGGCTTGTTAAGTTTGATTTCTCCCTTTATTTCCTTCAGAAAATTGTCAAGCAAAAAAAAAAAAACCCACTTTATATGCTCTCCAGTTGCTCAAACAGTACAGCATGATACTAACAAGTCATGAATTGACTTCCCAGGTAATGCAAGAACTGATAAAATGGCAAATGTATAGATATAAATGTGATATTCAATTACCGGTTTCACTGAGTTTCTCATCTAGAGTCTGCTGCAGCTCAGTCAGAGCTGCTCTGATGGTGTTCAGACTCACAGGAGTGTTAACACTGATATCAGTCCACTGCTTAGTGTTGAAAGGTCTGCATATGGATGGGTAACTCTACAGGAAGAAAAAGGAGAAACTTTTAATATTAGGAACAGAGTTGTCCTGTGATGTTCTACATTTCAATCGAGCATAGATATAGAGGACACAGACCTGTATGAGTTGGAGGTGATCTTCAGTGTGTGAGAGCTGCTCCAGCTCACTGTCTCTCCTCTTGAGCTCAGTGATCTCCTGCTGCAGCTCTTCAATGAGCTCCTCTTCCTGTTCCTCTGCTGCTTTCTGCTTCTCCTCCATCTTTTCCAGCAGCTCAGCCTGACATTTCTCAATGGAGAGCATCAGAGCAGTGAAGAGCTCAATGCTGCCCGCTTTCTCTTTCTCCATGCTTTGCTAAAAAAGATCAATGAACAGATTCAATTTTTATTTGCAATTTAACACCTCGATTTATAAAGCAAATCAAACCATTATGATAAATACAAATATCAATATATTTTTTTAACTCACTTTTCTGAGTTCTCCTGAATGTTTGATGTCTTGAATCTTCTTCATTCTGTCCTGGATCATCTGCTGCACGTCTGTTTGTATCTTCATCACTTGAGTCTATAAACATAGATGGACACACATATTTGATCACTTATAGATTTTCCATCGTTTGAAAAAAAAAAAAAAAAGGTTTATTGTTAAAAAGTTTTTTATAATATTTGTTGTAACTCGTGCCTTCTTCTCCTCACTCTCCTCCTCCAGAGGAACAGTGTTGTGGTTCTTGTGGTCTGTCACAGTGCAGATCGGACACACAAATGTCTGATCATCTCTACAGAACCGCTCCAGAGGTCTCGTGTTGCTCGCATATATAGTCCTCCAGATTTTCGACAGCATTTATCAATTTGTGTTTTTTTAATCGTGGGACTCTGTGATGCGGCTCCAGGTGAGTCTCACAGTAAGAGCTCTGACACATCAGGCAGGTCTAGAGGAACAGTGTTGTGGTTCTTGTGGTCTGTCACAGTGCAGATCGGACACACAAATGTCTGATCATCTCTACAGAACAGCTCCAGAGGTCTCTCGTGTTGCTCGCATATATAGTCCTCCAGATTTTCAACAGCATTTATCAATTTGTGTTTTTTTAATCGCGGGACTCTGTGATGCGGCTCCAGGTGAGTCTCACAGTAAGAGCTCTGACACATCAGGCAGGTCTTCAGGGCTTTCAGCTTTCTATCATCACAGATGTCACAGAGCACTTCAGATGTTGTCACACCAGACTTTTCTTTAAAGTGCTGCACGACCTGCCTGAGCGCTGTGTTGATCTTGAGGTCTGGTCTTTTACTGAATGTTTCTTTACAGAATGGACAGGAGCAATCCTCACTTTTGTCCCAGCACTGGTTCAGGCAGCTCTTACAGAAGTTGTGTCCACAAGGAGTGGTGACCGGATTGGTGAACACATCCAGACACACAGAACACTGAAGTTCCTCAGTTAGAGGACCACTTGAGGATGCCAGGTCTGAAAAGTAGACAAATGATGAAAAGATTGCATACATTTGTGAACACTTGTAAAAAAATATATATACAGAAATGAACAAATCCTTCTTTCCCTTATATGTTTTGTTACTGACTTACATGGAGGTATTTCTATACTCTGTCTCCTGGCCTCTCTTTGTTTCAGTAGTGTTGGCAAAGATTCTGCCATTGCTCTTTAGACCTTTTCAGGAAAAAGTCAAAACACATTTAACACACATTTCACAGAATAAATCACAACCATAACAGCTGATTTTAAAGAGTGCAAATCGTGCTCATTACCTAGTAATGAGAAAAAACAAGGACCTTGTATAGAGTTCTTAAGCTTTGTATTTTCTATTAGAGAGTAAAGTTACAATGATCAAAAACGATCGTGTTTTGGCATTTCTACTCTGCCAAAATCAAAATAGACCTATATTAATCGCCATATCAAAATACACATTAAGTCGTTTCATCTCATATAAGCAATACTATTTTGGATAGTGAAATTGACCTCGAGTAACACATTTATTTATGAAACAAAGCTATGGACAAATACACACACATACAGCAGCCAAATTCTGAGCAGAAGTCAAAAGGGTAGTTTTCAGTTTGTTTACAGGCCTAATCATGATTGACACCTGCACTTTTAATAGATTTTTTTCCGTTTTCTTTTTTAATTATGATCTAAGAAAAACAAAAACAAGAGCAAAACAGAGAAAACTTAGCTGCTAGATATCACTCAATACACATGTCCAACAAACACTGCACAATTACAAACCACTGCTGTATTTGAAGTAGGGGAGAGCGGGGCACAAAGTAATACTTTTTGACTTTCTCAAATTGTGTAAATCCACATGGGGTTCAGAGTATAATTTTTTTATCCACAGTAATTTCACACTTGTCTAGTACAAATATGTCGCTTTGTTTCATAATTACAGTGTATAC